ATGAGGGGGGAAAGACAATAACAGAAAATGTGGAAATGGCAGAGGTGCTTAATGACTTCTTTGTTTCGGTTTTCACCAAGAAGATTAGTGGTGATTGGATGTCTAACATAGTGAATGCCAGTGAAAATGAGGTAGGATCAGAGCCTAAAATAGGGAAAGAACAAGTCAAAAATTACTTAGACAAGTTAGAGGTCTTCAATTCACCAGGGCCTGATGAAATGCATCCTAGAATACTCAAGGAGCTGACTGAGGAGATATCTAAGCCATTAACAATTATCTTTGAAAAGTTGTGGCGGACGGGAGACATTCCAGAAGGCTGGAAAAGGGCAAATATAGTGCCCATCTATAAAAAGGGAAATAAGGACAACCTGGGGAATTACAGACTAGTCAGCTTAACTTCTGTACCCAGAAAGATAATGAAGCAAATAATTAAGCAATCAGTTTGCAAACACCTAGAAGATAATAAGGTGATAAATAACAGTCAGCATGGATTTGTCAAGAACAAGTTGTGTCAAACCAATCTGAGAGCTTTCTTTGACAGGGTAACAAGTCTTGTGGATGGGGGGGAAGCGGTAGATGTGGTATATCTTGACTTTAGTAAGGCTTTTGATACTGTCTCGCATGACCTTCTCATAAAAAAACTAGGGAAATGCAACCAACATAGAGCTACTATAAGGTGGATGCATAACTGGTTGGAAAATCATTCTCAGAGAGTAGTTATTAGTGGTTCACAGTCATGCCGGATGGGCATAATGAGTGGGGTCCTGCAAAGATTGGTTCTGGGTCCGTTTCTGTTCAATATCTTCATCAGTGATTTTGATAATGACAAAGGAAGGGGAATCAGAACACTCAGATCTCCTAGACCTTTTAAGCTTTTTCTTCCTCTTTTTCAGCATTTTTTGTGCTTTTTTTTTTTAGCTCATTTAGAGAGCGTACAAGCTCATTTGTGGCTTTGGAGGGGTTTTTTGTGACTAGCCTTGCCAAGGGCCTGATGTCCTCTCACATGAGGTTTTTGAGTCCTCCTCTTCTGGGTTCCATTTCCATGAGGAGGGGGGAGGAGAAATGCTTCCAGAGCACTCCTGGCCAAACTAGGAAGATGGGGAGGGTGCTTATGAGTCCTGCTTCTTTTCCCAGAATGCTCAGGACCAATTTTAGGATGGGGGGGGGGGAATTTGTGACCGCACAAATATGCCCTTTTGTGTTCTCTAGAGGCCCCTTGGGACTTACTATGAGTCAATTGACTGGGGTCCTCCTCATCCTTGGAGCCTCTTCCTACTCTGCACATAGACTCACGGTCCATTTTTCCCATGTTGGAGTCAGTTGCTCTGGGGAGCAGGGGATCCCACATGCCTGTCTGACTCATAGCCCTGGGACTTAACAAGAGTCAGGGACAGAAGGTTGTGTGCAGGCTGGGCACAACTCACTGTCTGCCAAGTCTGGGAGGATAATCTCACAGATCAAGCACCATTTGGGCTTTCATTCAATGTGTTTTAGGCTGCTCTGCCATAGCTGGAAGGTGCAGAGGAACAAGTCGGGAGGCCCTGCAGCAGAGGCTGCGGAGGATTCAAACACCCAGTTGAAAAACTGGCCCAGGAACCTGAGGGAGAAATCACTGCTCACCACTGCCCCAGATTTTGACCCAAAAAGCCCTCAGGCAGATGGGGAGGCAGGAGCACTAAAACCACTGTCCACATGCTGCCACAGAGGCAGAGAAACTGGCCATGAGCGGGAGTAGAGGGGAAATGGCCAGAGCAGCAGCTCTAAACAGTTGATCTGACTCCATGAGCTGCAAAGAGCAGCCCAGACCTCAAGAACTGAAGGAGTCAGTGGGCTGCAGAAATAGGCATCTTGAGGTTATTAGCTACAGTAATTAACAGTGTTTCAGCACCGGCTCCTCAATGTAAGGTTTGCTTGCCCAGTTTTGAGATGCACTCTTGTCATCTTTACCTGTGGTATGCATTGGCTGAGAATACATTACATGTATGTTTTACTTACTTCTAGATGCCACCAGCCTACACTGTAATATTCAAACTCATGCCTCACATTCTCTAGAGGCAGAAACAAGAGAATTGTTATACTGAAGCAGTTCAGCAATCCATCTAATTCACATCCTGTAATACTTGAAAGAGTAATGAGAACTAGTTTAATTTTTACTGGTTAAAGTAAATAAGTTGCAGATCTAAGTCTTCAGCTGACAATAAGAATGGGAGGATATTATGCTAAATTGAGAGACTTTAAATGTCTAATTGAAATGAAAACAAAGTTTCCCAGCCCCATAGGGATCAACTTTAAGCTCTGGCTTAAAATTCATTCCTCGAAGACAGCATCTTCCTCCCTAACAGTGACTGTGAAAATTGAACAGTAGATCTGCTATGTAGTATGGTATTGAATAATACTTTCATTTCCAGGTACTAGACACTGGGATTTTGTGTTTAATTAGCCCAGAGAACAAGACAAAAGGAGCGACAGCCTCAGGGTCCAGCAAGCTACCAGTTACAATTGCAGCTGCTACTTTCCCCATACCACCATTACCCCTCCTTCCCAAAAGAGCATCTCTACACATGGCATGTAGTTGTTCTCCACCTCATATAGGTTGCACAGTATTTCACTTGCCTGCCCAAAGTGTCCCAAATGCGCCTTACATTTGAATTATTCTCCCCACACACATGTATGAGAGTCACCAGAAGAGCCTGTGTGAAAAAATGATTTACCCAAGATCACATGGCAGATCTCTGGATATCTAAGCCAGTGCCTTAACCAGAAGACCATTTCTCCTGCTAAGAGCAGCAGAGGATCTGTACCAGCAGCAGAGACTAGTCATCAAAACCAACAGGTGAAGGAAGGGGAAGTAGGGAACAACAAGTACTGCCCAGTGGGAAGTAGCACAGGGTGACGCAGCACAAAACAGATGGAGCTTCTGGATTGGGTAGGGGGAAGGATATGGTCTGAAGCTAATGGGCAGAAAATGTCACCCAGGGAGCAAGGGGCATAAGGTTGGAGAAGAGGCAACCAGGACATGGGGGTTAGGGGGGAAGTGGGCAGGAGAAGACATGAGATTTAAAAGACTTGACAAATGCCCAGGGATGTAGGTGGTGAGGGAGTGAACTTGAGGTGAAGGTGCTGAGTTGGTGGGAGACCCAGGAGCTACATCTAGAGTGACTGGGAAGCATGGGGTGAAAGTGGTGGGGTAGGAGAGCAAGAGCCGTGCCCAAGCTGCAGTGCAATGTTAACATGAAGTGAAGGTGCTGGGCAGACATCAGAAACCATGGCTGGGAGACAGGGATGAAGGAGCTGAGGGGAGGAGACCAGGAACAATGTCCAGCATGCACATAGAGGAGGATGGAGGTGCACGAGATGAAGGGGTCCAGGAGCCATGGCTGGGGGGAGGTCTAGTATATGATGCAAAAGACCTTAGGGAACAGAAAGACCAGCAGCCCTACCAAAGATGTGGGGGGAGGGGAAGCAAAGGGTGAAGAAACGGGGTGGCCAGCCTTTATGCAAAGATATGCAGGAGTGGACATAGGGTTAAGGGGTGGAGGGCAGAAGCCATTTGCAGGCTGTATGGAGAAAAAGGAGGGGGACCAGCAATTACATTCTGGGTGTGTGCACGGGGGGGATGGCATGAAGGTGCTTGGAGTGACTAGCAGGGCACGGAGGGGGGAGGGAGGAGATGGAGTGGAGTGAAGGAATGGAAACAAGGAGACCAGGAGCATGGCCATGATGTGCAAGAGGGTGGCACAGAATAAAAGTGGGGAAGAGCAGTAGCCATGCTGCCCACAATGTGGAGATGGGAAGGGTGAAGGAGTAATGCTTTGACTGTACATGGGAAGCGGGAGCCAGGAGAGCCAGTAGATGAACTGAAAGAAGAGGGGACCCGGGGCGTTTGTGGCAGAAGGCTTAAAGAGCTGGGGGGTTGCAGTTGTGCCCAGTACATGAGAGGCTGGGGTATGAAGAAGCTGGTCAGTGAGAACCTGAGAGCATGGCCAGGACATACACGTGTGTGGGGAGAGAGGTGTGCAGGAGCCGGTTGGGGGGTGAGGAGCCATGTCCATGATTGTGTTGGAGGGAGAGATGAAGTGAAGGGGCTGGGAGACCAGAGTTATGTGCCGGATGTATCCGGGGAAAGGAGAAAAGAGCCAGTGGAGACAGGGGACAGCAAATATGCTCAAGGTGTGTGAGAAGGATGGGGAGCAAGAGCCATGAATGGGGGCTACATGTCTGGAGAGGGGTTGAAGAAGCTGGGGGTGCAGGAACCAGGCACGGTGGCCATGTGTGCAGGGAGGAGGTGAAGGAGCTGGGAGGGGCAGTAGCTATGCCCAGGATGTAGAAGGAGGAAAGTAAGGTCTTGGTGGGGGTGGTGGGTCAGTGTCAGGAGCAGTGCCCTGTGTGTGTCAGGGGTTGGGTGGAGAGAGTGAAGGAGCTGGGGGAAGAAGAGCCAGGGTCAGGCTGGGGAAGAGAGTGTGAAGGAACTTGTGAGGGAGCATGGCTAGACTGTGCGTGGGGCAGGAACAGCACAGTGGAGAGGTGGAGAGAGAGAGAGACTAAGGTAAGGATAGCACAGATGGGGGGAAGGAGGTCAGGCATGGGGGAAAAGGGACAACACAGCTGGGGAGATGAGAACCCATGGGGGGGGGGCAGGGACAGCACAACTGGTGGGCAGATGGGGGGGGGCAGGCAAGACGGAATAGCAGAGCTGGGGGATGAGGATCGGTAGGGACAGCACAGCTGAGGGGCAGATCAGGCCCCAGGGGAACAGAGATAGCACAGCTGAGGGGGGCAGGACCCAGGGACAGCACAGCTGAGGGGGGCATCAGGCCCGGGGAGGGGGGCAGGGATATCAGAGCTGGAGGGAGGGGCAGGGACAGCACAGCTGAAGGGCAGATCAGGCCCCGGGGGAGCAGGGATAGCACAGCTGGGGGGATGAGGACCCGCGGGGATGAGGACCGGCGGGGGCAGCCCCACGGGCGCAGGGGTAGCCAACTGCCTGGCCAGGCGCTTACCTGCGGCAGCCCCAGGAAGCCGTAGAAGTTTTCCGGCACCTCCTCCACCAGGTCGAAAAGCTCCAGGTCGCCGCTGTCCCAGGCGCGGGCGAGCGGCGGCAGCAGCGCGAGGAGCAGCAACAGCGCGCGGAGCTGCGGCGCAGGGCACGGGCGGCCCATGGCCCCCGCCTGGCAGCCGGCGGCAAGACGCGGACGTGGCCCCTGCTCAGGTCACTCACGCCCCAGCGGCGGCTCCGCACTGAGTGAGGGGGGAGGAGGCAGGCTCCGCTCCTCCCGCTGCGACGCCCACGGGGAAGGGGCGTGGCTTGCAGCCCGACCAATCACCGCCGCTGGCGGCCGTGACCTCACCTCTCCTAGCAACCGCGGGAGATTGTGTCTGGAAGCCTTGGAGGAATGAGCTTCCAGAGCGGGGAAGGGGCTCGCTCCAGCGTGGCTGCTGCCTCCCGCTCGGGGGGGGAGGCGCGGTGCTGCCGCCTCCTCGGGGCTTGGCTGAGGGCGGGGGAATCCCCCAGCGGGGCCCCCTCTGAGCTGTCCGGCGCCCCCCTCCCCCCTGCACGACAGCGGCTGTGACGCTGCCTGAGTGGGCGGGAGCCCGACTGGCGGCGGCGCGTCTCCGCCTCCTCTAGCACAGCACAGCCTTTGGTTCAGTTCCTGCCTCGTCCCTTTTGCTGCCCTCCCCCTTCCCGCTCTCTCGCCCACCGCCCACACGAGACCCGTGCAGGGTACCCAGGCCCTGCCTGCGTGGGGGCAGCTAGTGGGGCCACAGCACAGAGGCTTCTTAGATGGAGGGAAGGGGGGTTTCCATCGCTGTAGATAATCCATCCCCCCCAGAGAGGGGAGCTTGGCGAGGTCTACAGACAGAAGAATTCCTCCAGCTACCTAGACCTAGCTGCGGGATGGGTTAGGGCAACTTGACTACAGCCTGCTGTGATTTTTCACAACCCTGAGCAACATAGCGAGGGCGATCTAATTTTTAAAAGTAAACCAGGCCCAGCTAGAATACCTAGTCATCCCCCTCTGCCTCCTCACATCCAGCGGTGGGCAAACTACAGACTGGGTGCCGCATCCAGCCCTCGAGTTCCCACCAGGGAGCGGGGTCTGGGGCTTGCCCCATGCTGTCAGAAGCAGCAGCATGTTCTCCCTCTGGCTCCTACGCATAGGGGCAGCCAGAGGGCTCCACACACTGCCTCCACCCCAAGCACCACCCCCGCAGCTCCCATTGGCCAGGAACTGCAGCCAAGGGGAGTTGCAGGGGTGGGGCCTGCAGACAGGGTAACACGCAGAGCTGCCAGGCCACGCCTCCGCTTACAAGCCAGAGGGGGGACATGCTGCTGCTTCTGGGAGCTTTTTGAAATAAACGCCGCCTGGAGTCTGCACCCCACTTCCTTCTGCACCCCAACCCCCTGCCCCAGCCCTGATCCCCCTCCTGCCCTCTGAATCCCTCAATCCCAGCCCAAAGGACCCTCCTGTATCACCAACCCTTCATCATCAGCTCCACCCCAGAGCCCACACTTGAAACCGGCGCCCTCACCACCACTCTACCCCGTACCCTAGTCTGGAGCCCCCTCCTGCACCCAGAACTCCTCATTTCTGGCCCCACCCCAGAGCCCACACCCCCAGCTGGAGCCCTCACTCCCTTCCACACCCCAACCCCCAATTTCATGAGCATTCATGGCCTGCCATACAATTTCCATATCCAGATGTGGCCCTCAGGCCAAAAAATTTGCTCACCCCTGGGTTACACCCATCTCTTCCTTTGCTTCCAGCTTTGAACTGGTCAAGTTGAGTGCTTTTCTCCATATAGAAATGCACCCAAAGACCCTTAACTCTGCCCTGCTGTGACACCAGGTTAGAGGAGAAAGACATATTTTAAAAGTGTATTTAAAAAATCAGCTAAATCTAATTTGGGACCACAATTTTAAAAATTTTTATTAAGATGATGTTAAAAAAAATAGTGAACAGAGTTTGAGCATAGAAGTTTCTGGTTATCAGGGAATAACATACAGATTATAGAGGGTGCAAAGTTTGGTTTAAGATAAGGTAACATGAGGAACACATAATCTGCAATATTCCTGATTGGGGGTAATATACTAAAATATCAATCATATGACTAGTGCATGGTGTCACTACAGTGCAAAGTTAAATTTTCTGAGAAACATGTTATGAATAATTATGTGGCAAAATTACCATTAACTTCTGCCTCCTCCTCCCCCCCCCCCAAATTCTTAATGTTGTCTTTGCACAAGATTTTAGCAAGTTACAACTAGTGAGTTAAGTTTGTGTGAGTGCAATTATGGAGTATTTTTACCTTTAAATGTTTGAATTTAACTATTAATTCCTTGGGTGTATAGTTTTTGTTTTGGTATTACAACATCCTTGTAAAGTATTGTACTCTACATTACTGATATGTACTCTCAATCTTAACTCCATTTTAACAATTTTTACCTGGAAATTTCTTTGTTTACATTAAATATGTCATACATGAACACTAAAAAAGAACCTCAAATAAAATGTTATATGATATTTCTAATTACTTAAAGATAGGAAACAATTAGCAGTTTTCTTAATTTTAACTTTTATGGCCAGGCTCCTCAGTACATTGTGGGTACTTTAGCTCAGGAGTACCACAAAACAATCAGTGCATGCATGCCAGTTAAATGGTTTTTACAGCTGTTTTGTTTTGCCAGAGCAGTTCAAAACAGTTGGAGAATACACCACAGTTTCCCCTTCCTTCCAGTTCTTCAAATCCTCTGCCTCTTGCATCTCCTACATTCCCCCTTCTTCTTGCAACCCCCTACATTCTTAGTTGCCAACTCATGTGATTTTTATCATGAGCTTGTTGGTGTTTTTTCATAAAGGTCCAGCTGCTGGAAGCAAGAAATTCTCATGCCATCTCAGCTTTTATTTAAAAAAACCCCAAAACAATACCAAACATTTCTAGCTCTCAGGGTTGTTTACAAAAGCTTGAAAATGTGAAGCAAGTGAATCCTAAAGACTCCAAAATCAGAAGGCAAATAAGAAGAACTCCGACATTTATTTTTAACCCAATCTCACTTTAGAATGCTTCTGGTTGGCAATATTTCATTCCTCCACATGAGCACACCCCAAGTTCTCCTTCCCTTCTGTACCCTGCTTCAGTCTTCTGTGTGTATGCACACACGCATGCATACATACACACACAAGTTTATTCTTCCTAACTAAACAAATAAGCCAGTATGGAAATATTGGAAAGATATTAATGGTCATTTCGTCATGAAGAATTGCTTGCTTTCAAAATTGCCACCGTCTCCCACTGCTCCCACTAGGAATGAAGCCACAGCTGCCTTCAGAAAAGAGAGAAGGAGATGAGACACCTAGATCCATTGAAAACAATGAAAGAGATACCTTTCTCAAAATGGCCACCAACGGAAGGCAGCTGTGGCTTCAGTCCTACTGAGAATGATAGGAAATGGTAGCCATTTTGAAAGAGGACAGTTCTTTGTGGAATTCTCTAAAGTAAACCATGGTATCCTTCAGCTGAAGAAAGAATGTTCAGTTATGAAGGATAACAGGAAAAAGTTACCATTAATCCTAAAATCTATATATTCAAAAATAGCCTATGCACAAGATTTCAGTAAGTTTTAACAAAGTGGAAAATTTGAAGGGTCTGTGTTATTCTGTTACTGAGATTACTTGGGCCAAAAAAGTCCAATACTGGTGGCTAAATTTCTTAAAGACCTATTTTTTATTTCTAAGCTAATTAACAGATTTACTTGTAAATTCTCATAAAATTCATTTCCTACTCAGAGTAATTGATGAATTTGGGGAAGGGTAGGCTGTATTTACTATATATATGCAAACCCTTGGTTTAAATGCAAAACTCAACTCAACCTTGACTGTGGAGTTGCTGTTTGCACATCCGTAACAATAACTCATTCTCCCTGCCTCTCTCTTCTTCTGTCTCAACTTCCTGAATTTTTTCTCCTTGAGACTTTGAGTCCTTTTCCTCCTTGGCTTGAATTGGGCCGATCACACCAGGCTGCCGCCTTATTCTCCTAAATCTCTGCTTTCATTTAAAATAAAACCAATTATCTAGCCCTTATGGTCACAGAGAAAACATTGAAAACATAAAACAAGTGTAAACTGATGCAGCTATGTTTGCTGGGTCTGCAATGAGCTTGAAACAATAGACCAGAGAGATATGAACTTCCTGAGTCATCTCAATATCTAATGAAGGTCAACTCAATATCCAGTTATTTAAAATTTCAACATTATTAGTGATTACACTGATATCAAAGCACGTAAGAAAGTAGAGAGATGAGCACAGCTCTACACTCAGTGGTGTCTTATTATGGCACTGTAAATGGTAGCATTTGGTCGACACTACCTTTTTCCAGGATGACCTGTGGAGCTAAAGTACAAAAGGAAACAAATAGAGTCCAGGGGGTGATCCAGGGAATATTAGCCATATGCTACACTAAAGGTTTGATAATTATCTTACCCACACTTTCCATCACTAGTATGTAATGTTGCATTGCATGGTATGCTCAATGCATTGTCATGCTATTTCTCAGACAAATTTCAATTTGTAGCACTTCTAGATTAGAGTATTGTCAAAATAGCACAAGAACAAAGTAACCAGTTAGAGCAGTGTTTCTCGTGGCAGCCTCCTTGCTGGTCCCTGAGATCTCCAAGACACAGCATATTAATATTTAAAATGTAAAGAGTTTTTTGTACTTGCATGTTAAATCACTGTATTCAGTTATTTCTGAACATTTACAAATAAATAAACAAACAAACTGGGTTGACATCGATTGCCATGGTGCTGATATTCACAGCACATTCACGCACATTTTTTGGAAGGAAATAGCTGTGAAAGAAATGTAAGTTTTAGTAAAACTTTTACTTAGCTAAACCAGACAGTGTCATTGTCAAAGCAAATACCTCTGGATCAATTTTTCAGAACTAACAAAAGTTCAGAAAAACATAATAGAGATGCAAGTGACTCTGAACGTGAATAAGGAAGAAGCGTTAGAAAAGAAAAGGAAATGTTCGGCCTTCAATTGAAAATACAATTTGTTTGACATTAAGTACGGGTTTGTTGCAAGTGAGGATGTAGAATGCCCGAAACCTCCCTGTGTTGTGTGTGGCAATTCTGAACAATGATGCTATGAAACCTTCAGAAATGATTCAACACCTTAAAACCAAACATCCAAATTTAAAAGAAAATCCAGCGGAATTCTTCCAACAGAAGCAAAATGAAGTGAAGAGGCAAAAGAAACTACTGCACACCGCCATAACATCAAATGAAGATACGTTAAAAGTATCATATCTGCTGTCTCTATGCATAGCTGAATGCAAATCACCCTTTACAGTTGGTGAAGAACTAATAATGCCTGTCACAAAGTCTTGGGTGAGGCAACTGCCAAAAAAGTGAGTTACATTCCACTGTCAAGTGATATGGTCTCACTGATATTGCAGAAGATATCGAAGCTCAGTTGATAGAAAGAGTGAGAACATCAAGCTGGTTTGCAATTCAGTTGAATGAGTCAACGGACATTTCTAATACAGCGG